TGTAAATCCTTTAAACGCCATCTCATCAAGAGTTTGAGGAATGGCCATGAGAAGTGATGTGTAGGAGAGTGTAGAGAGATGGTAAAGACTGCGGCTGTCGGTAATAGTCGCACTCATTTTCGTCTAATTAGGACTATGAGCCAGAGGAAAGTAGGCATAATTGAGGTGATTAGGGAGTCTGACGACACATTGATTCTTATTCAGCAACACTGTCTTGAACGATAGACTGAACATTTTGAGGTTCAGTTCGACTGGCCCCCGTTGACATGAGGCCTTTTAACCCCTATATCAGCTGGGCAACTACTGCTGGTTGATATCAGTCCTCCATCTGAAGTGGAGGTTTCCAGGGAATTAAGTTATTTCGAAAGGTATAAGGCTACTGGCTCAGATAGACTGTCCTGATCGATTTATAAGGATGGAGGTTCAGTCTTGGTTTTGGAGTTGACGAAACTCCTGAGCTCTGTGGCAGAGGGAACAAGTTCCATCTGAAGATCGGGCTAAGTTGCAAGCTTTCTGATAGTTTGAGTACGGCATGTGTTTTGCACTGTCAAAGTGCAAAGTGTTGCCACAGGAAGGGGTTTGCCAAGCTCGCAACCTTATTCTAACGGGAGAAGTAATACAGGTCGTGAGAAAATTTTTCTATCTGGGCAGAGATGCATCTCACCCGGAGAATGCATCACGGATGAAATGTCGGCGCTCATACAGGAGGCTCGATTGGCATTTGCCAATCTGAGACCGTTGTGGCGGCGTAGCGACATCCGTCTGTCTGTGAACAATCGATTGTATGCTGCAGCTGCAGTGCAGAAACTTGGCCATTAAAAAAACGGGTTGGAGGTCGATTGTCGATGTTCGAAAATCGCTGTCTACGTCGCATTGCACGAGTCTGGTTGCCGGTAGATTTTTCCCTGAGGTTTTGAACATACTGCAATTGAGGGAAACACACTGCGCTATTGGGAATTAGAAATAGTCCTCCGGATTCGATTTTCATTTTCCATACAGATTGTGATAACGATATTCCTTGAAGTCATTTTTCGTTGAATAGGTTTGTTGTTGACCATGGATTGATATTGAAGGGTCATTCAGAATGGAAAACATCGCACGGCAGCGGTGGGATTCAGACGTTACCTCCCGGTTGATAAAACGATGTCCTATACCTTTTCACCATAGCTGCTTTATTCACTGACTACCCCGACGGACTTATGCTGATTTAATATTAAATACAATTTCTCCCGAGTGAAGTTGTTCAAAACTCAAAGAGACTTTTGATCGTCTCAGCAGCTGTGCCTTTTTCTATTCAAACTTGACATTGTGGACACAAATGCTTTTGGAAATCCAACCACCTTATTGTAAAGATTTCGTTCAAATAAATCAATGTTTTATTTTTTTGTCTCCAAATTTGTTAGTACCGGATCGTCTGGGCTCGGGATCCAGTGAGGCAGATTCATATCAGTCCAGTGATCACGATCAGCCTCCCCATCAAGGTGATCGAGGCGGCTCAGACGAGTCTGAAGATGAGGATGACGTCAAGGAAGAAGACGAAGATGATGACGATGATGAACTCCGCGCTGGTTTGCCCCGTGGATTGGCTCGGAAATCGAAAGGTCAGAATCGTGATGCATCCCCACATGTGAGAACTACCACCACATCCTCGTCCTCAACATCTGAACACAGTGATCCGCCATCTACCTACGTGGTCTACTTCCGGGACGGTGTTCCGGCATCCAATTGGCTAATTGGAGAGATCCCTCGTTATCCGTCCTGGTCGATTCATGCTCTTGGAAAATATTTTTGCTATTCGCATTCGTCAGGTTCGTCTCTGTTTATTGCAGTCCAGCTTATCCGTATTTTCATGCGATCAGTTCCCTTCAGCACCTTCGTGAGAGCCAGAAGAAGCATCATGATCACGAGTTCAAGCCTCCGTCCATTTCAATCGCCCGACAAATATTAGACTGCTAAGAATGTGACAAAACTAGGGACACTTTTCGTGTCTTGATCCGCCTGAAGAGTAGTCGTCTACTATGGTTCGCTGAAGCAGCTGCCATTCAACGTTACAAGCCCGATTTAGGTAAAAGACTGAATTCGTCGCCAGCATCGCACTGCCCTAGTAGGGGTCATTGTCCTTATGTGAAAAGCCTTTAGTCAACTTTACGGGGAAATTTCTGATTAGGTTTACGCATCATGTTTTATTTCACGCGTGTTCGCATTTTGAGATTAACTTTCCTGATTAACTTCGGGTTTTTTTCGAACTTAAACCTGTTAAGCACATTTGCTCTCAACCATTGTACAATATATAGTTCGATTACTCCGGCTGTTCACAATTTCGGGTATTGCTTTTAGGTCTTTCCTATCCGGGTTTTCTACGGAATAGCAATTACTTGCTTCCTTGGGACGTCGTTGTCGGCTCTGGTGCCTGGGATCAAGGTGGTCGCGGCATGGGAAAGGGAGGTACTGGAAAATATCGACCGGGTCGAGGGGGTAAGTTACTGGTTCGATAACGTGATGCCCTGCTCAATTCACGAGGTCTTCATTTGCAAGCTCATTTCAGTCACTGTAAAAGTAGCTGGTTTAATCATTTATTCTGCGCTCCGAGTGCTGTACATTCGTTTTCTCTGTCATTGCTTTGTCTCAAAATGATCTGGTAATATTATATGCATAGCGTTTCTCCCACTACGTTACTTCACCCTATCATTCACTGGTCTGAAAAACGCGGTCGCATTAGTGTACTTGTTACACTACTAGTGCCACCTGATAAGAAATGACAACAAGAACGCCACTGCTGTCGGTTCGCTGCCACGACCTTCAGTGTCTCCAACCATGCAGTTACGGAGTCTTATACATAAAAATGTAACTTACAAGTTCGATTTGTCTCTGTCGACTGAGGTTTCAGCTCTCGTGATATTGGTTGCCATGTAAATGTATTTGCTGAATAGAATCGAATAACGTTTGTTGTTCGACTGTTTTGACATCACCTGATGGTATCCCGTTTCCATTCACACTCTAGATTCTGGTGTAGTCAAACTGTTTATCGGATTCGAAATGGAATGCCCTTTGGGACATCGTTTTTTCCTTGCTGGGCCTGATCGTGCAATGGATGGACCTATGCAAAGTAGCCAGGTCCGTTATGCAGTGCAAGGCTTGCTCACTCGTGATTTGCCCCTGTTCATGCCATGTAGGATGCATCGTTCGGGTACTGCGGACGAGATCAGTCAAACAGCCCGATCAGATCCGGCCTCGAGCGAGTGGCGACATACCACCAACAGTCCACGTGATGACTTGACTCTTTGGGCCCAACTTACTCGAATTTATCTAGCGATTCCAGCCGCACCGGTTCGTGTTCGATTTCGGCCTCGTGTTCGACCTGGTCCTGCACACACTACTCCAATATTCCATCTTGGTTCGACTCTTACCCAATTTGAAGATCGCTCGGGCTTATCCGATTCTGGAACCGATATGGACGATGACGACATTGACGAGAATGAAAACCGAGGTAAGCGGAATGGGAAATCGGGATCCGCTAGGAGAACGACTTCCGCTGCAAATGACGACAATCATGTTGGCTGTGAACTGCGAACCACGAGCAAAAACAAACAGCGGCCCGGTTTCGTCATGCTGGACAACGGTCTGTTGTGGGTTGCTCGTCTACCGTATCCTTCATAGTTCATAGTTTGTGGTTTCTCTTGATTGTATGCATGTTGGACTTGAGTCTTTCAATGGACGGAATCCTAACGATAGATTGGAATAGGTATGAAATTCCTGCTGCTCGGCCTTTTAGTATCGGTCTAGATACCATTCGGACAACGTAAACTGTATTTCAAAACTAAGCTTTTAAAAGGCCTACTTTTTCTAGGACGTGCTGAGTTACCTAGTGTGATAGACTGATGCAGATGTTTCGATCCGTCTGTCTGAGGTACTTTGGAGTTGGATCAACCACTTATCTTCTGGACATAAAAGTCATATTTTCTGCGCTCTCTCGCTAGTCATTGTTAACACATAGGTAAGAATTACTGCTATGTGCACGAATGGCATGAAAGCAAAACACGGAGATCTTAGGTGATACTAACACTCATGATGGCACTAGTTGGTTGATCACATGGTTAACAATAACCCAACCAGAGTTTTCGGCAGATCCACTGTTATGTCCGTACGATCACCTAGGCCGAATTTGAGTTGCGCGCAACCTCAGAATCCATAGACCGAATGCCCTCATTTGTTATTCGAGTCCAACCAATAGCAGGCAATAGTGCGTTACTGTAAATATAAAGGATTACAATTGCGTTGACAGCACGTCTCAAATCGTGGGAGTTCCCAAGGAGAATGCCTGATCTGACGAAGCGAACAATACGAAACGTGGAAGCCCACCACTTCGTCAGACGAGCAGGCAAAAAGTGAAGTAGCGCAAGAGCGCATATGTGCACACAGGCTAGTGTACAGCACAGGTGGGACAGAAGTTCGATCACAGTCAGAATGAACAACCCGGTACCGCAATTAGATAATAACTATAGAGTAGTGCATCACTCCATATCATGGACAGGTACAGCGGTCACGAGAGGAGGTGGTCCGGTGGTAACGTCACCAAATTCTCACCTCGGGGATGTGTTCGAATCCTACCACCACCGCCTGACTTTCCCCATTTGTATGTTGTATGGCGGCACTTTGATTGGCCGCTTCCTACTTCCTGAAAATTGTATCTCTGTGTATTCAATAAAGGGAAGTAAAATAAAAAGAAAAGTATCCATTGGATAAAAGATTGGCAAGTGATAGATAGTTGGTTAAACAGAGGTATGAATGTGTAGGGTCGTAAATAGATTCAACACCCATCACGATGGAGGCAATAGCCGTCTTCTTTTTCGGGAAATTTTTGTGTGCCGAGAACCAGAGTTCGATGACCGGTATCATGAAAAGTAGAGCACAGCTGTAATATAAGTAGTTCTATTAGTAATTATGTTTTCAAAGTGGATTCTCGGAGATGTGGCATTTGGTGATTTCCTCAGTTCGCGTTCGATGTGGAATGTTTAATCCTTGTACCATCTCTAAGGATCATCGTCTCACACGACGCGATCCAGAGCGCTCAACGGGTTTCACATACCAAGCAATTTTTCGGGACGTGGTCGCTGTCGTACAAACCGAGCCCCAATCAAGTTTGCTAGCTATAGGGGAGTTGATCTGGATAGTCATCCCTCAATATCCGCTGTTTGCGAAACAGTGCTAAATTCGACTATTTGGAGTTTCATCAATTTGATACCGATTTCCTTAACTCCGATTACCCTGTCAGCTTTGTTTATCATGATGGAAAGCAGCTATTCACTCGACCAAACACTCCAGAACTAGCGAACAAATGGCGACTACTGAAAGGGTCGATAAAATTGCAATTTTGACTGTAAATGATTATGCGTAATAAATTTTCTTTCTCATATTTTCGGTCTTTTTGAGCTCATTTCGTGAACAGGCACCACGAGTCATCGTCCAGTGGACTCGTAATGTTAATCACATTTTACGCCCGCTCCAAGAGATTTAAAGTTTCGAGTAGTGCTGATATGGTTTCGTTTGGACATGGAAACATCCTCCGGAAATGTGCGAAAACAACTAACGACTTCGGTTGTCCAGTTCTTGCTTGAAAATGAGCGGATAAAAGCATAGCTTGGAGACCCTGGGACATAGTTCTCCACTGTGATCCGATCGCGTACGTAGACTGCCATTCTTGTGCCCTCTTCCTAACCAGGCATGGATGTTACTGTTCTCAACTTGATGAGACCTGGCTGACTATCGCTTTTACAGTCACTGGTTTTCAGACTCCACCTTTGATGACAATATCCCTAAGTACACAGAGCACGAAAGCATTTTAGAGTATCAAGTTTGGATTAGCCCATTCGACTGTGCCTCTGAACAATCAAATGGGCTAATCCAAACTTGTTACTCTAAATTGATTCATACAAGGTGATAGCCTTCGACCATGTAGTTTACGGGTAAGGGTTTGAAGTCCCGAACCAAATGTTCGCGGTTCGAGTTCTGACAGGGACACAAAAGGTATACACTACTGATGAGTCACAAACGGGACAAAATAGCTGTTCAATGCTCTTTGTCGGTCATCACGAATATTTCCATCGCAATTAGTGAAAGCATTTGTTTGAATTGGTTGGTTAGGACAAATCCGTATAACACATTGTCTCGATCAAAACGCAATGTTATTCAATTGCCAGCACACTATTCGACGACATTCAGAACTGAATAATTAGGCAACCAGTGCTCTGGACTGGCGTCGGTCATCAGTGGACTCTTAATCGCATTCGGGACTCGCACCCAAGCATGTGAATTGATCTCTACTCACATATGGCAAGCCAAAATTCAGTGTTTCCATGTTTTCGATTAATTATGAGTGCTAATCTGCACTTATTTATTCGTTCAGCTTTCACCTTGTGGTTTGTCGGTGAGTTCGCCGCTGGTACGTCATAAGTAGTAGGCAAACAAATATATACAGTTTCCAGGTAACCAACGCGAGTGAAATAAATCAGTATATATCACTGTTCCTCCGGAAATTGTTGGCATTTTTTTGCGCCGAAGAGTGTCCCGTCACTTGCGGGACAATTCACTTGAACTGTCATCATTAACGAGGAATATATTTCTGCTTTGTTGGATTGTTGCATTTTCTACCATTTCTTTCGTCAATAACATGGGGTAACCATAAAAAAATAATTTCTTTTTCTCCTCGAACTCAGTATGTAAACATCCTGTGGGATTTATAACGTTCAGCTTTGTAACTTCCCAGATTAAAAATTTAAACTTGACGCGAAAGGTGATCTCTAAGTCGGTAAAGAAACAATTGATTTCGGATATTCCTAGTCATGCTTCTACATATCATATAGTGGAAAACATT